ATTTGGATAAAGTTCCGAATAGGTGAACCCTCTGATTTTTTTGAAACTACACTATTTTTTGTATTTTTTAACGCTGATTACAAATGTGATAATGAAAATTTGCGACAAGGTCATTTTCAAGGTCAAAACTCAAAAAAACTGAAAAAATATAACTTTTTAGACATTATTTCAATAAATATTGATGTAACAAAAAAATGTTTCAAATAAAGGTTGCAGTTCTTAAAAAAATACATTATTTATGTTCTATAAATTTTTTGCGTGAAACTGAAAGTTTTCGAGAAAATCGATGTTAAAGACTAAAAACGGCGGGTGAAGTTCCGAACAGTGCTCACCTCTGATTTTTTTTGAAACTCAGTATTCTTACGTATTTTGATGCACTGATTACGAATATCATAATGAAAATTGGTGCATCTCTTATTTTCATAGTGAAAATCATGAAAAACCCATAACAATTTTAGATCTTACAGAGAAAAACATTTTATGTCCTATTAATTTTTACCGTACGATAGTTTTCAACAAAAACGATGGAATCTAAATCTTATATCTGTTCTCCCATCTAAGCATGTACTTTGCAGTACATATACGATTCCACATGGGTTTACAACTTTCCACGTAGAGCGAGGTTCCACGCAAACCTATTTGTCTAGTTTTTCGGAACTTCACCCGCCGTTTTTAGTCTTTAACATCGATTTTCTCGAAAACTTTCAGTTTCACGCAAAAAATTTATAGAACATAAATAATGTATTTTTTTAAGAACTGCAACCTTTATTTGAAACATTTTTTTGTTACATCAATATTTATTGAAATAATGTCTAAAAAGTTATATTTTTTCAGTTTTTTTTGAGTTTTGACCTTGAAAATGACCTTGTCGCAAATTTTCATTATCACATTTGTAATCAGCGTTAAAAAATACAAAAAATAGTGTAGTTTCAAAAAAATCGGAGGGTTCGCCTATTCGGAACTTTATCCAAAAAGATATTTACAGTTAGTTCTATGCTTCTTATTCGGAGATTCTTTTAGCTCTTCCAGCTACCAATCTTCATCATCGAAATAATTGCAGAACGCTCTGCGCATTACATGTATACGGTTTTCGTTTGTGTGCGTATCCCCTCCACTACGGTTGCGTGTTGCTAGCGTGGATAATCTGGCTACACTGGTTCCCACTTGCAGGGAGGTAACATAGGATTACGCAGGAGGACGAACTGCCCGGTATCAATCGGCGGTTCCACCTTTCGCCATTTTGCTCGTTGTTGTAACGTATTGACATAGTCGTTACTCCATAATTTCCAAAACCGCTCAGTAACGTGTCGGACGAGTTGCCATCTCGACATGCGATTCTCGTTAATATTAAGCAAGGATGGTTCCGGGTTTACAGTAAGCGCGGATCCAATTAAAAAGTGACTGGGAGTGAGACACTCGTAGTCCTCAAGCATATCGGAGAGGGGCGCTATCGGTCTTGAATTAAGACACGCTTCGATTCTAGATAATAAAGTCGAGAATTCTTCGAATGTTAGCAATGATTACCTAACACGTGGCGCAGATGAGTTTTTACGCTACGTACGCCCGCCTCCCACAACCCGCTGAAATGCGGAGCAGACGGGGGAATGAAATTCCACGTCACGTTATCGGAGGCAGTCAGGTTTGAAAAATTCGGATCTCGTAATGCTGACCAGTAAGCGACGGTCAGTTCTCGGTCCGTGCCGACGAATGTTGTTCCGTTGTCCGAGTACATAGATTGTAGAAGACCGCGGCGAGCGCAAAATCGAGAGTAAGCGTTTAAGAAAGCTTGAGTGGAGTAGTCGCTTACTACTCCAAATGTATTGCTTTTGTCGCAAGGCAGATAAAGAGCGCGATGTATGCTTTACGCGACGTATAATACCTCGTCCAGCGGAGGCCTGAATTTGCACGGGTCCTGCGTAATCTAGGCCGCAATGCAAAAAACATCGGACTGCCGCTGTCACGCGAGATTCGGAAAGATCTCCCATGAGTTATGTGGGAGTCGCGGCGCGTTCGCGAGTACACACAACACATTTATGAATTACAGATTTGACGATATTACGAGCGCAAATTATCCAGAAATCGCGATGCAGAACATTTAGCGTGAGTTGAGGTCCGGCATGTAACACTCGTAAATGAGTTTGATTCACGATAAGTGTGACTAACGGGTGTGACGCAAGAAGGATCGGATGTCGAACAGACAATGGCAAAGAAGCTTTATTAAGCCGTCCTCCTACGCGCACAACTCCGTCCCGGTCAAGGAACGGTCGAAGAGAGAGAAGTGAGCTTCTCGACGAGAGGCTCTGATTTTTTGATAGCGCGTTTATTTCCGTCGGAAATAAGTCGGCTTGAATCTTCTTAATCCAGAAAGTTCTGGCATTGTTACAGTCGTATGCAGAGAGCGCAATATTTTGTGATGCCGGATAATGAGATGACAAAGGCGAGAACGACAATGAGCTTGTGTCACGACAAGAGCGATTACTCCGACATTTATTTACAAATTTATAGATATACGCGGTGACGCGAATTAACTTTGGCCACGATGAATATTTAGAAGCGAGGTCCCATTTAAAGAGTGTTCGGGAAGATCTCCCATGATTTGTGTGGGAGTCGCGGCTCGTTCGCTAGTACATACAACGCATTTATGAATGACAGATTTTACTATGTTACGAGCGCGAAGTATCCAGAAATCGCGGCGCAAAACATTTAGCGTGAGTTACGGTTCGGCATGTAACGCTCGTAAATGAGTTTGATTCACGATAAGTGTGACTAACGGGTGTGACGCAAGGAGGATCGGATGTCGAACGGACAATGGCAAAGGAGCTTTATTAAGCCGTCCCCCTACGCGCACAATTCCGTCCCGGTCAAGGAACGGTCGAAGAGAGAGAAGTGAGCTTCTCGACGAGAGGCTCTGATTTTTTGACAGCGCATTTATTTCCGTCGGAAATAAGTCGGCTTGAATTTTCTTAATCCAGAAAGTTCTGGCATTGTTGCAGTCGTATGCAGAAAGCGCAATATTTTGTGATGCCGGATAATGAGACGACAAAGGCGAAAACGACAATGAGCTTATGTCACGACAAGAACGATGACGATGACAGTTATTTACGAATTTATTGATATACGCGGTGATGCGAATTAACTTTGGCCACGAATATTTAGAAGCGAGGTCCCACTTTAAGTGCGGTTGAGAGCATTGCAGCGAACTAACCTTTTCTTCGAGAGGCGCTTCCTTGGAAAGACGCTCATTGCTACACGGCCCTTTATCGGAATCGAAGAGCAGCCATGGAGAACCATGCCACCATAGCTCGCGATTGATAATTTCATCGCCAAATATTCCGCGCGAAGCGCAATCCGCGGGGTTGTCCTCCATTGGCACATGCCGCAATTCGGCAAGACGAGTCTGAATGTCATTAACGCGATTTGTGACAAAAGTCTTCCATCGCGAAGGAGGTTGACTTACCCACGCGAGCACGATCGTGGAATCTGTCCAGCAATGACACGGAATATCCTTGTAACCGTTCGATCCGCGAACGAACTCGACAAATCGTGCGAGTAATAATGCTACGGATAATTCGAGTCGTGGTATGTTTAGAGATTTTAATGGCGCGACCTTCGATTTCCCGACGAGCAAAGTTGTCGTGATTTGACCTGATGACGAAATGATTTTGATATAAACACATGCGGCATACGCATTTGTAGATGCGTCCGCAAATCCGTGGATTTCGGCGTGACTTGTATCCGATCCGCGACCGATCCAGCGTATTATTCGCAAATTACTGAGATGTAAGAACCGAGAATAGATTTCTTTCCACTTTGCGATGTGTGGCTCGGAGATAGCGTCATCCCAACCGACTTTTATTCGCCAGAGTTGCTGCATAAAGATTTTTGCTGTAATCGTGACCGGAGTGACCCACCAGAGCGGATCGTAGAATTTTACGATCGCGGACAAGATCGTACGCTTGGTTTCCGGGGCGTTATCAGCCAGCGACACGCGCAACTCGAAAATATCGTTTGCCGGATTCCACCCGATTCCGAGGATTTTGATTTGTTCGTCTTCAGCCAGAGGTTTTTTCGTGGCTAGACCGTAATCTGCGATTTCGATATCCTCGAGAAGAGAGGGCGAGTTGCTCGCCCATTTTCGTAATACGAATCCGCCGCGCTTTAACATAGAGTTTAATTGATGGCGCGCTTGCCGAATTCGAATGGTATCGTCAGCTCCGAAAAGTAAATCGTCGACATAAATATTATCGCTCAGGATAGGAACTGCGAGCTGAAAGTGCTGATCTTTGTCGATGACGAGTTGTTTTAATACCCGAAGGGCTAGAAACGGAACACATGATATTCCATACGTAACCGTTAGTAATTGATAATCGATGAGCGGTTCCGAGAGCGATGATTTCCACAAGATCCGTTGATAGTCAATATCACGCGCATCGATGTGAATCTGGCGATACATTTTCGCAATATCGGATGAATAGACGTATTTACATCTGCGCCATTGTAGGATAACTAACATGAGATCGGTTTGTAATTTTGGCCCGGCGTTTAAATGATCATTTAAAGATGTGCCGTTAGAAGTAACGCTCGATGCGTTGAAAACAACGCAATGACGCGTGGTAGAGCTACTTTCCCGGATAACCTCGTGATGTGGGAGATAAACAGATTGTTCGAATTGATTTTGAGCTGTCGGCGCGGGCTGCATATGCCCAAGACGTTGATAATCGGACATGAATTTGCCCTATTCTAAGTTGCAAAAAATCGTTTTCTAAAATCAGCTTGTTGAAAATAGGCTATAAGACCAAAAATTGGAAAAACGTATTAGGCAGTGTACAATGTGTTATTAACAATACATTGCATAAATCAATCAATACTACGGTGAGTAACATAATGTTAGGCTATGATCAGCGTCAAAAATCAGATAATAAACTGAGAGAATTAATTGATTGATTAGCGCAGTTAAATAAAGATATTAAACAAAAACGAATAGAGTTACGTGATGCAGTGCAAATTGTAAATTGTATCATTTAGGAATATAACAAATAATAAAAACCAATGCCATATAAAGAAGGAAATACAATTATTATAGTTAGATCATTTTGATATTTAATTGGTGGACGAATCATCATAAAGATTGATCCAAACATTATTTAGAATAAACTATTGTTAAAATATATTTTTATTCTCTCTTATTCTTCCCTTTCCCTCTTTCTTATCCCAGTATACGAGTATTAAATTTTAGTACGTGACGTTAAATAGCAGCGTCAGCCATTTAATTAAAATATTAATGTTACATGTCTATAGACATACATTTTTTTAAATATTTATTTTATTGATATATAAGTAATTAATTTGTCGTTTCATGTAGTTGATAGTGGTTCGATAGCCGTTCGATAACTGTTCAAAGCTGTTCGATAGCCGTTCAATAGCTGTTCGATAGCTGTTCGATGGCTGTTCGATAGCTGTTTGATAGTGGTTCAAAAGCTGTTTGATAGCTGTTCAAAGTTCAAAGCTGTTTGATAGCTATTCGATAACTGTTTAAAGCTGTTCGATAGCCGTTCGATAGCTGCTCGATAGCCGCCCGATAGCCGTTCGATAACTGTTCAAAGCTGTTCGATAGCCGTTCGATAGCTGTTCAAAGCTGTTCGATAGCCGTTTGATAATCGTTCGGTAGCTGTGCGATAGCTATTCAAAGTGGTTCAATGGCTGTTCGATAGCTGTTCGATAGCCGTTCGGTAGCTATTCGATAGCTATTCGATAGCTGTTCGATAGTAGTTTAATAGCGGTTTACATATTATAATGACATTATTCATATTTAAAAGACTTTAAAACTATAGATAGTTGTCTGCGGAAACATGCTAACTTTTGTTTTCTTATCAAGTGCAGAAGGTAAGCGTTCTTTGTAAACGATATTTCTCCTACTCTAAAATGTTTAAACGAGATGATGTCTATCCCGTTGTGTCCGTCATAAAGTGTCTGTGTTACGACTTGTGCCGTATTTCCGGAAGGTGAGGAATAAAAGATTCAAGCGCACGTGGTTTCGATTGTGAGATCACTTTATTGAGAATGGCCGGGAACCGGCACCTTCAGGGTTACCAACATAAAAACTTGCATTGCTGTTAACTTGAGAACAATATATGGTAGCCTCGCATGATAAGGCTAAACGCAGGCGCAAATGAGAGCGGGAAATCCAACAGTCTGACAGTCTTCAAGTACAGTTTTTGAGAGAAGTAAAGTGAAGTGAAAAAACGTAAAATTGGCTCGAGATGATTAATATGTCGCGGCAAGCAACTCAATTTTATCAAAGGGTATTAGATGCTGCAAAGGCTGCATTTTTACCATGGGTACATAGTTTTTGTGGTGTACATCTTTTGTACAAATTGTGTATTATAATTTTGACATTATATTTACAGTGCTTCATTGATGTCCGTATAGATGGATTTGTAAATATACGGCATCGACAGAGAGTGCGTATGTTGCGACGGAACATACAAGAAGATCTTGTAGAATTATGGGGTGATACTCGAGAGGCTCGCAAGTAAGCGGAAATATTTCCGCTTAATGATATCTTTTGTCTTTGAAAGCTTTTTGGGCTCGAACCCTATGATGATTACAGTGATTATTTCGATGATGAAGATTGGAAGCTGGAAGAGCTCCCAGACAGCACAAGGATGTCCTTAGGACGTTCAAAGGGCATCCAGGACATACATGTAGGATATCCTGAGGATATCCTATTTTAATCCTCGGATCTCCTCTGGATGTCCGGAGGAAGAGTAAATGATAGCCGAATACTAGCCTCTGAAGAATCCAGGGAGATCCTGTGGAACATCTTAAGGATTTCTATAGGATATGTTAGGGATATTTTTCATACGTTAAAAGGAACAAATTCTAAAATTTAAATATAAATTAAGATTGCGTTCTGTTATTTACTACCAATACTAAAAATCTAATACTAAAAATAGTTCACGTTCTTTAATATTTGAGGTTTTCGTGCTGTACATAAATATTTTAGGTTTGGCTTCCGGGTTTGAGTCATGTAATATTTTCAAAACAATCCAATATCTGAATTCCCTATGTTGGGATTGCATCAGAAAAATTGAACTGATAAAAAATAATTATATTTTTAATTTCCTGTTAGTTGCTCTTTGCAAGCTTTATATAATTCTCATGACCAAATCTCAAATACGAGTTCGCGCGTCGCATAGCGGTAAACAAACGAACTAGCGGTTGAATACTATTTTTTGTAAAGTTTTTGAAATGTTGCGCATAGTAACATTTCTCATGAAATATTAAATAAATAATAATTTTGAATATATGAAAATGTGCGCATCAAATTCAATTATTAATATTAAACGAAATTAATGTTAACAATTAATTGCACATGTATATGTCCTCTGGAAATCCAAAGGACATTCAATATAATAGACAGGGCAGATATCCTACAGACATCCAGGGGTTATCCAATGGACATTTATAGGACATTAATACTTATTACAATACTTAAAATTTCTAAATTATATTAAATAGCCTACATAACCGAAAGTAATCATGTATGCATATTAAATTTTCATAAAATATATTTATAATAATATCTTAAAACATCCTACAAATATCCTGAACCATCCTAGACATATTCAGGATGATCCTGTATTTTAAGTTGTTTCCCGTGTTATTAATATAGATAAAATGTAATTTATAAATATTATATAATTATTAAAAACATATTTTTGGTGGCGATAAATTTTTGTAAAATAAATATAATTTTTGAGAAGATATTTTTGATGGCGATTAATTTTTGTAAAGGACTATTTTGGCTGGAGAAAGATATACTTAGCGCTTTTTTTTACATCTGTGATGTCTTTTTAGACGGATTTTTATATTACACACACACACAAATTATTGGATAGACATTATTATTATTATTAAAAGAATGTCAATTATTTCCGCGCCTTCACCATATTCCCTTACGCTATCCTTTTTCTACTTGCAAGCACCCACGCGCTATCTCTTTCATATCCGTACGCTATCCTTTTCTTACTCCTTTTCTTACTTCGGATGCCTCGCGCTATCTCTCTTCAACGTCCATGCGAACACCTCGCGCTATCTTTCTCCCACGCCCATAGAATATCATTAGCGCCATGCTTCTCCCACGAATATGATTACTATTATTATTATTATTTTTTTTTTTTTTAAACACACACACACACATTTACGTGATACATTTATATGATTTATATTTAAACGCACACACAAATATTAAATAAATATTTTTATTAATATTAAATTGTCAATTATTTCTGGGCCTTCTTTTTTTTCCTATACGCGAACGCCTCGCGCTATCCCTCTCCCACACATTGCGGACGCCTCGCGCTATACTTCTCGCACCGCCTTGCGAACGCCTCGCGCTATCTCTCTCTCACACCTACTCGCGGACGCGTGCGTTCCCTCTTTTCCGCGAACCCCTCGCAACCTGTTTTGCAGCGGTTCCCCTCTTTCCCGCAGACCCCTCGCCTACCGGTTTCGTCGCGATCCCCTTCCCCCTCCGCGGACCCCTCGACTATCCGTTGCGCGCGGTCCCTCTCCCCCCTCCGCGGACTCCTCGCCCTCGCCTACCGGTTTCGCCGCGGTTTCCCCGCGTGACGTCATACCCCCGCGCCGGTTTCCCCTCGCCCCCCACCCGCCTCAGAAGACCATGGCTTAGGCCGGTATTCATAGTCAGTTCTTATATTTAAGGTATAATTTATATAATTCTATTGTAAAAAATAAATTTAGATGTTTATAATGATTGTTAATGTATATTTGATGTATATGTACAATTATTTACACAACGTGAATTAAACTGAATCCATAGTTTTCAAAATTTTGCTCATCTCATCAATACTTTTTGTTACTTTTATATGTTTTGAAAAGGGCATAATCTTGCCATAAATATAAATATTAATATGTAAATTTGGGAACACGGCAAAGATAGATTCCAGCTTTTTGCGGCTAATAGCATGATGAGTGATATGTATTCGGTCGAAATAATAAAAATTATGTTCTGATACACATTATTAATACTGAAAATTGATATTTATTTACATTATACACAATAGATATTACTATTATTAAACAAAATATATATAAAACGTTACTATCCCCCAGCAGAATATTAGAATCTAACCAAGGATTAAGGGCCAATTTCTCCAAGTTTGGTTAGATGAACCGACGGTTAAAATTAGCAGGGTGGCTAACAGATTCAATCTTTGATATGTAGGTCGGTATTCATAGTCAGTTCTTATATTTAAGACCGTCTTAAGCACAATCTTAAGATGTCCTAAACCAATCACAGAGCCGTATTAGCATCTTAAGACATTACTTAAGACGGTCTTGAAATAAGAACTGACTATGAATACCGGCCTTAGAAGACGTAACATATGCAGCTATGCCAATTTGTGTGTGATAGTCCTAAAGGTGCCATTACATGGCAGCATCATGAAGTAAGAGAGAAGGAGATCGAACTCCGTAAAACAAAAGTGGTCCTGATTCGTGGCACCTAATAGGGAGGAAATTCGCTGGGCTTAAAGGAGAGTTATCTACCTAGATTGGAAATGGTCACGAAAAATGTTCCGTATGTGGCCAGGTTTGCCAAATGGAATGACTTGGACCAATTCGTCGCCATCTTGAATATTCGTACATATATAGTGTTATGTTTAGTTCATGAAGTAAGAGAGAAGGAGATCAAACTCCGTA